TTAACCCCCCCAAAAGCTCCAGGGTTTTGCTGAAGCAATGCTCAGCACCACCATTAATAACTTTTGGAGGTCCAGCTGAAGGGAGGAGTATTAAATGCATAGCACTAGAACCCAGAACAGCTAAGGGAAAGAAGGGAAGTTAAGCTGGCTAACAGAAAACTCAGCGGAGGGAGAAGTGAGAGTGATGGTTTAGATGTACTATAGATCTGTGTATTGCTGGATGCTCACTTATGTTGCAAGGAGACCCACGTGCCGGGTCCCTTTGCAACACAACTCGAAGGTGCTTCTCCTGCATCTAAACCAGAGATTTCATCAGCAGTGGAAGTGGAAAAAAGTATTCACCAGCATAGGTGTTGCAACTACAGCAAGAACCATGGGCCACATGGACAACACAGGAATAGGGATCATCATCTCCTGCACTGTGAGGAAGTAGCTGTGTGGTACAGCAGAGCTCAGGCTCTCATCCTTGTTCTCAGAAGGTTTTGTGCAATGGTGTGACTAATTAACACTGCTTTGTTAAAGCACTCGCACAGTGACCTTTGTAACACCTGCTCAGTGCAGGACTGGTCCAGAAAACACGCTTCCCTCCATGCTCAGCACCCAGTCTAGAAATGAATGGGTGCAATTTCCATTCCTGTTAGTGGTGGTACATACCCAGCGTGTCCTTCAGGAGGAGGGGCAGAGACGACCACACAAATTTAGTGAGCCTTTCCCAAGAGGAAGGGCTCATCCCAATGAGTTCAGCTATCAGAACTGCATATTAATAAAACAAAAGAGAAAGACTGTTTCTGTAGAGGGCTGACCCAGGCACTGCTGAAGCTCAGATAGGTACTCAGCCTGCACTTCACGGCTGCATTTTTGTTTACAGCCATTTAGTCCATCTCTTTCATATAGAAGTCACTCAGTTTGATATGCAGACTTCAAATCTTGGGAGGGGTTGTGGCTACCTAATTAAGAAATAGGAGGAAAAGGCATCTGTCTGTGGTATTTGTAACTGTAAGTTCTCTGTTCAGCCCTCTCAAGGCAGTCAGGTTGCCTCAGGGAAGGTTCAGTATAGAAATATTCTCACCACCAAAATACAGATGACACTGAAGACCTAGACTGCCCAAAAAAGACACAAAGAAGTTGACCCATTTCCCCTTTGCAGATCAAGACTATGCATAGAGTTGTCATACAGGGTCACAGAAGTGTAAGGAAATAAGAGGGAGAATTTGCCTGAAGGCGATTTAAAGCTCAGGCAGGACTACGCTTTCCTGCTGAACCGAATAATCCTTCAAAAAACCCCAGCATGAGTTGTCACATTCACTGACTCAGCTGTTTCTAAGTGATCTTTTACATGTTTGGATCGAAAAATCTAGGCATGAGGCACCTTTTCTAAAGATACCAGTGAGCAATTGTTGAGAGAGATGAGGATGGAGCAGTGCAAAGGATTCTCCAAGGGAAGGAAATTCCCCACTGCTTATGGGAGCATATGGAAATGTAAATTCCAGGTCGCTCACAGGTCAGGAAAGCTGGGGCAAAGCATACAGAAGACAATCTGCAAAACTCTCACTGAGCGCCTTAGGAAGAAAGCGGAAGCTTCTTGATACCTGTATTTATGATCCGTGTGTATCATGGTTGAAAACCAGTCAGCCACACAGTTTCTACCCCCCTCCTCAGCTTTCTTTCCTTCCCCCACCCTGAGGGATGCGGAGGAGAGCTGAAAGAATGCAACTCCCATGGGTTGAGATAAGAGCAGCCCAGTAACGAAGGCATAACACAAACCACTGCTGCTACCACCAGTAATAATAATGATAAGGGAAATAACAAGGGGAGAGAATACGATACCACCCGCCAAAAGGAGCCTAACCGAGCAGTGAGTGCCTGTCTGGGTAACTCCCAGTTACCTCCCCGGGCATGATGTGCTGTGGTATGGAATACCTCTTTGGTCAGTTTGGGTCAGGTGTCCTGTCTCTGCTTCCTCCCGGCTTCCCCTCCTCCCTGGCAGAGCATGAGGCTCACAAAGTCCTTGGCATCAGTGTTACCAGCTCTGCTCCCAGACCGAAAGTGTTATCAGTCCAAAACATCAGTGTTACCAGCTCTGCTCCCAGGCCGAAAGTGTTATCAGTCCAAAACATCAGTGTTACCAGCTCTGCTCCCAGGCCGAAAGTCAAACACAGCACTGCACCAGGTACCAAGAAGGAGAAGAAATGACTGCTACTGCTGAACCCAGGACAGTATGAAAAAAAAGGTGTTTATTCTGCTGAAGGCTTCCAGACATTGTTACCATACTCCTATTTAAGGCTTAGGAATTCTGCAGTCAGATACTGAATGCATTAGAAATTCAGCAGCTTTTCATTCACCTGCTTCACATCTCCAAAACTAGCTCCTTGCAACTAAATCAAAATGGGAGCTCCTCTCTTTCACCCAAATCACAGGGTTTACTATAGAACATGTGAACTTCTCATTTATACTTCATCCTTTCTGACTTCTCTCCGTAACCACAGAAGGGATGTTACCTCTGTTGACGATGGGTTTTTTGCAGGCCAGATTTTCCACTCACTACCTCTCAAATTACACATCAAAACATGGCCTCCCCAGCTCTGCTCAGTTGTTCCCACTGCTCCATATCAAGATCTGTTATAGTGTAATCGTAGTGTCATCTATGATAGATGTATGACACCTAAGCAGTAATTTTAGCTTAAATAATTTCATCATTAATGAAATCAAAGACAAATACCAGTTTCTTGCGTTTATTTAGAAACTCTCCTCAGGCATAGCAATTCATACTTCCCTATTGTCCTTGTTCACAGGCCAGAAGGCATTTCCATTGATACACTAGTTTGCATTCCTGTAAAGAGTTGGCTGTACATGGAAATAGTGTGCCAAGGGGAAATAAAAAGTCCAGAGACAGGAATGAACAACCTTGCTACTGCCAGGCAACACGACATTTTGTAAGAAGATGTCAGCTTGGAGATACCGGAGCAATCCCAGGCAGTCGGAGCAATCCCAGGCACAGCTACAGGCTGGGCAGAGAAGAGATTCAGAGCAGCCCTGTGGAGAAGGACTTGGGGGTGTTGGTCGATGAGAAAATGAACATGAACCGGCTTCAGTGTGTGCTCGCAGCCCAGAAAGGCAACCGTATCCTGGGCTGCATCAAAAGGAGCGTGACCAGCAGGTTGAAGGAGGTGATCCTGCCCCTCTACTCTGCTCTCGTGAGATTTCAGCTGGAGTATTGTGTGCAGTTCTGGTGTCCTCAACATAAAAAGGACATGGAAGTGTTGGAACAAGTCCAGAGGAGGGCCACAAGGATGATCAGGGGACTGGAGCACCTCCTGTATGAAGATAGGCTGAGAAAGTTGGGACTGTTCAGCCTGGAGAAGAGAAGAGCTACGTGGAGACCTCATAGCAGCCTTCCCAGTATGAAGGGGGCCTATGAAAGGGATGCTGGGGGAGAGAATTATTAGATTAGGGACTGTAATGGTAGGACAAGGGGTAATGGGTTAAAACTTAAACAGGGGAAGTTTAGATTGGATATAAGGAGGAAATTCTTTCCTGTGAGGGTGGTGAGGCACTGGAATGGGTTGCCCAGGGAGGTTGTGAATGCTCCATGGCTGGCGGTGTTGAAGGCCAGGTTGGACAGAGCCTTGGGTGACATGGTTTAGTGTGAGGTGTCCCTGCCCATGACAGGGGGGTTGGAACTTGATGATCTTAAGGTCCTTTCCAACTCTAACTATTCTATGATTCTGTGTGATAAAGGTCTACATAATTCTGAAGGAGGTGGAACTCAGCGATAATGATCAATATCTGCTTCTTGATTTCCTGTAAAAGAATCAAGAGGCATCAAATGAAACCAGGCTTGGAGTGGGACACTATGGGTAAGTCTCAAAGACACTTGATCTTTCCCCATACACCTGCTGGTGGTCATGACTGAAGAGAAGATACCCACTAGTCAGACCTCTGCCTTGATACAGGAGGGCTGTCATTAAGGGCTTATCTGCTCACATTTGCTGCTCCAGCTATGTTCATCACTGCAAGTCCTCCAAGGCTGTTTATAAACCTAATTGTGTAAAACTCCAGACACTCATCTGTACAGTAAGGTTGTGTGGGATTCAGCCTGGCACACAGAGCCAGCCCCCTGTGTCCTTTGTGGTGAGTCAGAGAATAATAAACCTACATTCATTCCTACCTGGTCCTATGCTTTCTTCCTTCGACTGTCTCCATTAGCTGGTGGAACGACAAGAATGGATTTCCTTGTGTTTTAGTTTTATTTTCTGTTGTTAATAAAAATGGCTGTACATCTCTGACTTGATGCGAATAAACCTTCTTCATGATCTTTTCCTTTAATTTGATCAAAATCAGAAGAAATCTCTTTACAGGATCAAATTTCAATATGCAGAAGTGCCTCAATTTATTGCAGAAGCAGAATCCTCCAGCAGCTTTTACAATTTCCCTCTGCCCAAATTGAAAGCAGCAAACAGTCAAGAAGCTTTGGCTTCAGAAGAAGCAGTCATCCTCAGAAACCCTCCATCTGATTAGGCAAAGCAATTTATCATACCATGATAATAGTTCTCAATATGTGTCAGTCTGGATTCTGTGGCTTGTTTCAGTGATGCTAGGTTTAAGGTATCCAAAAATACTGTTTCTGCAGAAGTTAGCATATAAGAAAGATTTATTTTTTTTACTGTAATTGCATATAAGCACAAGGGAAGGTCGTTAAAATCCAGTTCTAGTGCCTATCATTTCCACAAAGTGCTAGCTCCTCCTTCTATTGTGTTTTAAAATGAAAAGAAATCAAAGCCCAAAGACACAGATGGGAAGTCACAGAATGAATTCCTTCTACTGGAAATGGAAGGTCACAAGTACGATAATAATAACATCAAAGGGACAAAGATACAGAAGAAAATAATGACAAGAAATCAGAGTATTACAACCCCCCCCTCTAGATTCCAGAGAGCTAAGTCCAGTGCAACTGTGTACAGAGTCTTTGTTTTTCTGTTTATTTCATTGATTGTGTTTTCTGTTAATGAAAAGCAGTTTCATGGTCATCTGGGGCAAGGGGCTTGCCCACTCACCCGTGACTCACGGCACAGCAGCATGTTACAGGTTTGGAGTTTCCATTGGCATGACCCATGTGTGCCAGGGAGGCTGAGGCAGTATAAAACCCATCAGGTCCCAAGGCACCAGCACTGGCCACCTTTGGGACTCACCTCAGCACAGCACCAGGCCTCTGGAACACAAGAGAGAAACACTCTTGCATCATGACAGGCAAGGCTGTGGCTGTGGTCCTGATCCTTCTCTTCATATCAGCAGTGGGAACAAAAGGTACAGAAATCCTTTCTAAAGCTCTCCTAATTGCAAGTGCAAATGCTGATGGCAGAGGTACTGCGCTGTGAAGCAATAACTCCCCTAAACTGCAAGCAAAAGAACACGCCCTGACAGAGGCTGCCCAAAGAAGTGGTGGATGTTCCCTGGCAGTGTTCAAGGCCAGGCTGGACAGAGCCTTGGGTGACATGGTCTAGTGTGAGGAGTCCCTGCCCATGGCAGGGGGTTGGAACTGGGTGATCTTAAGGTCCCTTCCAACCCAAACCATTCTGTGACTCCATGTTTCTCTGCTGTGGAAAGAGGAAAAGAGTGCACCTTATTTTTCCTTCTTGTTTTGCAGGTAAGGCCCTTCCACGCTCAGCAATGGAGCTCCGGTGCCAGTGCATAGGCACTCATTCCAAGTTCATCCATCCCAAGTTCATTCACAATGTGAACCTCATCCCCAGCGGACCTCACTGCAAGAACGTCGAAGTCATGTAAGTGCTTTTGCAATATCCTCCCAATTACTTAACAAGAAGGAACCACAATTTGCACTCAGGGTGATGTAAGAGTTCACTGACAGATGGAGTGAGCCTGTGGGCAGCTGCTCAGGATGCAGACCAGCAAGGCTGTTGCTGTGACAGACAGCACACTACGTGTTAGAAAGCCTGTCTTGTCTTGACAACTCCACTTTTCAAACACCCCATGCAAACATTGCAACCTAAGCTCATATCAGACAGCAAAGAGCTTCCTAAAACTCTGAATTTCACCAGCAGATGAGACATTAATTTCATGCATGAGCCACGCTGAGTGATCAAAACATGAATGTGATGGCCAGGTCAAATCAAGTGATCACAGTTCTACTCGTCAGTGAAAAAAATCCCTTGGCACACAGATACATAATCCAGTCACAATTCCAGAAATCGTGTTGTAGCAAAATTCCTGTGGCCTGGGCAGTACAGTTTGTGAATGAGGATGGAAAGATTTAACCCTTGAGTTAAGTACCATCACAAGCTGGGGAAAGGGGACGGGGGAAAGAATTGGGTTTGGAAAGCATGAGAGTCCTGAAGTGGTTTAATGCATTCAAACAGGTATGGGAAGATATGAAACCTTTAGAGAAAAAACCCAAAACCTTTATGTTAGGCTACTTCAGCTTGAAGTAAAGAAAATGTCAGTGTACACCTAGAAAAGGGAAATTGCCTTGGACTTCCCTAAACAGACCTGACCTTTTCCCTTCCTCCTTTCTCTGTTGCAGAGCTACCCTGACGGATGGCCGGGAAGTCTGCCTGGAGCCCACCGCTCCCTGGGTGAAGCTCATCATCAAGGCAATCCTAGACAAGTGAGTTCCCTGTTCTCAGTGAGCATGGCTTATCCAAAAGCAGTGTTCTAGTTGAGTCAGCAAACGTGCAGTGTAAAGTTCTCACAGACTCAGTCTCCTCAGGCAGCTACTGATGTTTCTGGTCGCTAATGGGATAAACTCAGATTGTTTCGATCCTTAATCATCAGCGTGAGGTTGGATCCCTTATACCCCTCCCCATGTGAACGGCAGCTACACCTCTTGTAAGGTGCAAGCACATTGAAAACCTGCAGCTTGAGTGCTCAGGAAAACCAGGCATTCACTGAGGGGTTTTCTCTTGCTTGCTATGGTAGAAAGCAAGGAACAGCATTGAGATGAGTGGGGGAAACCAGGCCCACAAGGTCCCAAGAGAAGCCGTGGAAGCCCCCAGTCACTGAGGACTTGTGGAAAGGTCACAACGTACCAGCAGCCGTTAGGTTGTTACAGCTTTTAAGGGGCTTGGACACAGAAGCACAAACCCTTAGTGGTGGATCTCCTCTTATTCCAGGGAGTGGTGCCTGTTCCACAGGCAAGTTCTAATTGTCTCCTTTTCCATTTTCTTTCTTTCTAGGGCAAACGCCAAACCTGAGACAGTGTCCTAAGACAAAGAAGACAAAACGTCCTAACTCCTGCAGCAAGGCAAAAAAGAGATGGAGATGCCCATCCAGCTTCTGGCAGCTCACCTCCTCCTGCTGCCTATATTCACACTTCTAACAGCACCAAGAGCGTATGGATTCCCTGGATTTAGAATCACAAAATCACAGAATGGTTTGAGTTGGAAGGGACCTTCAAAGGTCGTCTAGTTCCAACCCCTCTGCAATAAGCAGGGACCTCTTGAGCTAGATCAGGTTTCGTAGTTAGTTCACAACAGTACTGAAGTATTTTACAGAGGTCACATTATGTAGGAGAGGAATCACTGACACCAGAAAAAGCAGGCAGAAGAAATGGTTTGTGAAAGGATATGGAGAGATCCTGGAATGAGTTTTGGTAAACACAGCTGGATCAGTGCAGAGCTTTCGCTAAATGACACCTTCCCTTTCTGCTGTTTAGGAAAAGAACAGCACCTAACTCCTTCTCTCCAGGAAAGCATCGATAGGGGAGCATCAAGTTTAGGTCACTGCTGCTCAACCTTTTTGCTCAGAGCAGACTACTGATCGAAAGAGGGAGCTGGCAGAGTTAGGACATAAAAATTCTGAGATACTGGGGCTTGTGTCATCATATTCAAGATATTATTTATTGTGAATTACTGTTGTGAAGGTCTCAAGATACATTTTAATGCCATCTTTTGCTTAGAAAGAGGCACGTTATTTATTTATTTATATATTTATTTTTACTTTTGCATAAGGATGTCATTATTTATTCATGCAGAACATATTTGATATGTGCCTAATAAATGTTTGTGGAGATGTTTTCACTTCAGTTCTGTGTGTTACGAATTTCTGTATTAAAATACAGAACGGAAAAAAAGGATGTATTTTCTTTCATCCACCATGGGATGGGTTCCCCAAAGGGCAAGGCGTGGTTTATTGCAACAGTAAATTACTGCCTCTGGTGTATTCAGATGGCTTCCAGTAGGAGGAATTATAAAAATTATCTACTTTCTTCCTCTTTTCTTGTCAGACTTGGTGTTTTCAGGGCTCTGGGTGACAAAATTCACAGATAGAAAGTAATAAATGACTAATGGTTAGTCACAGAAGCTCCAAGGCCATAGAGGTGGAGGTGCTCAGACCGCTCGTCAGCTGAGAACCTGGCACTGAAGAAGGTTTTTCCTTCACCTGAATAAGCAGGAAAATCTGATAAACATGATGGAAGTCACTGAGCATCCTCCGAATTGCAGTGAGGAGGGAGGACTGCATCAGGAGGAAGCCTGACTCTATGGACACACATTTGCCTGTGATACAGCGCTTTCCAAGGGACAGACTGGAACAGAAGCAGTGAACACTTGAGAAAATGGGAAAGTTGAGCAAATGTTTTGGCATTTGTTTTGCCTTTTCCACTAAGGATCCACTCCATGTTCTGCACAAACAGCTCATGCTTGCTAACAGTGCAAGGTAAAAAGGAAGGCTCTGTTTTTTGTTTGAGCAAGACCTTGTGCAGGATGGTAACTGATAACTATTCAAACCCCACTTTGCCCCCTGTCCCTATCGCTGCCACAGTCCCACAGAACTGCTCTACAACATGATAAACCTCAACCTTGGCATGGACAGGATTTTTCCAGACCATTAATTAGAAGCAAACCTGTGGATCTTTTTATCACTTTTTAAAGAGAAATACTATTTCCTTCAGTTTTAACTGAAATAATCACAGAATCACAGAATCCCAAGGGTTGGAAGGGACCTCAAAAGATCATCTAGTCCAACCCCCCTGCAAGAGCAGGGTAACCTAGAGTACATCACACAGGAACTTGTCCAGGCGGGCCTTGAATATCTCCAACGTAGGAGACTCCACAACCCCCCTGGGCAACTCGTTCCAGTGCTCTGTCACTCTCACAGTAAAGAAGTTCTTCCTGATGTTAACGTGGAACCTTCTATGCTCCAGTTTACACCCATTGCCCCTTGTCCTATCACTGGACATCACTGAAAAAAGCCTAGCTCCATCATCATGACACCCACCCGTTACATATTTGTAAACACTGATGAGGTCACCCCTCAGTCTCCTCTTCTCCAAGCTGAAGAGACCCAGCTCCTTCAGCCTCTCCTCATAAGGGAGGTGTTCCACTCCCTTAATCATCTTTGTGGCTCTGCGCTGGACTCTTTCAAGCAATTCCCTGTCCTTCTTGAACTGAGGGGCCCAGAACCGGATGCAATATTCCAGATGAGGTCTCACCAGGGCAGAGTAGAGGGGGAGGAGAACCTCTCTTGACCTACTAACCACCCCCCTTCTAATGCACCCTAGGATGCCATTGGCCTTCTTGGCCACAAAGGCACATTGCTGGCTCATGGTCATCCTCCTATCCACCAGGACCCCCAGGTCCCTTTCCTCTTCACTACTTTCCAGCAGGTCAACCTCCAACCTGTACTGGTACATGGGGTTGTTCTTCCCCAGGTGCAAGACTCTACACTTGCCCTTGTTGAATTTCATCAGATTTCTCCCCGCCCAACTCTCCAGCCTGTCCAGGTCTCACTGGATGGCAGCACAGCCTTCTGGTGTGTCAGCCACTCCTCCCAGTTTAGTGTCATCAGCAAACTTGCTGAGGGTACACTCAGTTCCCTCATCCAGGTCGCTGATGAAAATATTAAACAGCACTGGTCCCAGCACCGACCCCTGAGGTACTCCACTAGTCACAGACCTCTAGATAGATTCTGCACCATTGACTACAACTCTCTGCCTTCTTCCCTTCAACCAGCTCTTGATCCACCTCACTACCTGATCATCAAGCCCACACTTCCTTAGCTTACCTATGAGGATGCTGTGGGAGACAGTATCAAATGCCCTACTGAAATCAAGAAAAACCACATCTACTGCTCTACCATCATCCATCCACCTAGTTACTTCCTCATAGAAGGCTATAAGGTTGGTCAAACATGACTTCCCCTTAGTAAAACCATGTCGGCTGCTCTTAATGACCGCCTCATCCTTGATAGGTCTAGAGATGGTGTCAAGAATAAGTTGTTCCATCACCTTTCCAGGGACGGAGGTAAGGCTAACTGGTCTATAACTACCCGGGTCCTCCTTCTTGCCCTTCTTATAGACTGGTGTGACATTTGCCATCCTCCAGTCCTCAGGCACCTCTCCCGTTTCCCATGACTTACCAAAGATGACGGAGAGTGGCCCAGCAATGACCTCCGCCAGCTCCCTCATCACCCGCAGGTGTATTCGATCCAGATCCATCAATTTATAGATGTCCAGACTGCTTAACTGATCCCTAACCCAATCCTCATCTACCAAAGCAAACTGCTCCTTTGTCCTGACCCCTTCTGGGGCTACAGGAATCTTGGGCCTCCGGGGAGAGTCTGCAGGAGTAAAGACAGAGGCAAAGAAGGCATTCAGCACCTCTGCCTTCTTTATATCCTCTGTCTCCAGGGCACCCACTGCATTCAAGTGGGCCTATGTTGCCTCTTGTGTTAGTTTTATCCGCTATGTATTTGAAAAAGCCTGTTGTCCTTAACCCAACCTGCAAGATCAAGTTCCAAGGAGGCCTTAGCTGCCCTAATTGCCCCCCTACATCCTCTAACAACTGTCCTATATTCCTCCCAAGTGGTCAGCCCCTCCTTCCATAATCCATAGATTAAATAATTAAATAATGCAGCTTTTTTGACTGGTTTACTTTGCAAAGAGCACGCTCAGACCAAGGTGGTACTGAGAGCACATTAGCAGCTCTCACAGTAGCAGCTGGTAATGAAAAATGCCTGATAAACACAGTTTTGCTCCCTAAGGCTAAACCCCAAATTGCTATTTCAGGTTTAAATTTCTGTCTCTGCAGACAGCCTGTAATTGCACTGACACAGAAGATTACTAACTCATAAACATGATGGCAGGGGATTGGAACTGAATGAGGTTTAATATTCTTTCCAACCCAAACCATTCGGTGATCCTATGGTTCTATGAACATGAGCTCTTTACCAATTTGCTCAGCCTAAGTAGAAGAGAAAACTCTTCCATTGCATTATTTCATACCCCCCAGGTGGGAGGAATGGTAAGAACAATTTTTACTGAGAAACACAATAAAGCACAAAACAAGAGGTACGTTTCTACCAAACTTATATTCTCATTAATTTTCAGTCTGACACAGAAACTTTTGCAGCAGGAAGATTGCATATGGGTTACACTATAGCAAAGCCTTGCCCTATTTGCTTTGCACCAGACCTATACCTTAGCACTCTTTTCCCTACAAAATAACAATGGGCTGTTTGGTAACAGCTATGTTTACTGTTTAAACAACCTTTCCTACATGATCACCTACTTTCAAACCCTCTGAAGGCAAGTTGGGTACTTAAAGGGTGGGTGGCTGTTGCTAAGGAGAAAGACTTCCCTAGTGCTCTTCTTCAGTGGGTATGCTATGGCAAAGCCTGCAATTTCAGATTCCCTAAATTTCACAGGATTTTCTCCATGACCTGAATTATTTCTCTACTTTTCCAATGACTTTCTGTCCCACCTCTCTTGACACACTGGATATCGCAGTTACAGGGTGTAAAAAGCTATTCCGGCATCAATAGAGAATAGTCTCAAACTTCCTATTTACACTGATAATAAACAGCAAAGCTCAACCTAGAAGTGCCTGCACTGCACAAATAGAATTTTGCTACAGGAGAGCATGGCCTGCAGATGCTTTTGCCTCATGTCTTCCATATATGTAAGTGCTTGCCCCATGGATGAACTCACTGGTATTTACTATGAGCAGCTCACTGGACTATGGAAAATACAGTTCTCTCTACCGTATAGGATGAGAAAGTTGGGACTTAGGCTGAGAAAGTTGGAGCTGTTCAGCCTGGAGAAGAGAAGGCTGCGTGGGGACCTCATAGCAGCCTTCCAGTATCTGAATGGGGCCTATAGGGATGCTGGGGAGGGACTCTTCATTAGGGACTGCAGTGACAGGATAAGGGGTAATGAGTTGAAACTTCAACAGGGGAAGTTTAGATTGGATATAAGAAAGAAGTTCTTTCCTGTGAGGCTGGTGAGGCACTGGAATGGGTTGACCAGGGAGGCTGTGAATGCTCCATCCCTGGCAGTGTTCAAGGCCAGGTTGGACGAAGCCTTGAGTGACATTGTCTAGTCTGAGGTGTCCCTGCCCATGGCAGGGGGGTTGGAACTTGATGATCTTAAGGTCCTTTCCCACCCTAACTCTTCTATGATTCTATTCTATGATTCTACTTCTGTGCCATAGAAATTTTTCATTTCAGGGTTTTTCCCAAGGCACATCCTATTGACTAGTCATCATCACTTAACTATTAGCAATATTCTCCTGTCATAGCACACAGTATACGGCAATGGTAGGGAAGGCAGCATATACTTTAAACTCACTACTGGGTAGGAACTGTGGAGCATGTTATGACCAAGCTTGACTGTCACCTCTCCTTAGATTCTCCTTTTCTGTGGGGGTGCTCTTAGAGAAGTCACCTTTGAGATTAAATTGTCCCAGTGCTTATTCTGGAAGATTTTTGTTTCTGGAAAGTTTTAGTCACCTCTTTTCAAAGAGGGATGAGTTGCTTCAGGCGAGAGAACAAGTACAGTACATACCCCTTGGTAATGCTGTGGTTAGATGAAAAATAGGAAGGATTGAAATGAGCAATATTATTGATGACACATCTTAGAAATGTGTTAAGAAAAAAAACCCAACGTAGTGAGGAGCTGGATT